CGTCCCTTTGGTCTTTCTGGTGTTCTCTTTCCTCCTTTTAGGGAGGAGCACAAAAAGCACTCTCCGCGCTGTGCTTTCATTTCCCTTCAAAAAGATCCTTCTAACCTGACGCTGCAGGAGTTCTTGAAGCTGGATAGAGAACGGATGAAAAATGCAGCTGTATGTACATGTCGGCACTGTGATGTTTTCCCTTGCGCCCGTGATGCTGGAAAAGCTATTTATAAGTTTCTAGTCCTGTAATCTGTTCCCTGGCCTCTTGGTTCCTTGCCACAGTGTTTCCTGACTGGTTCTGTATCCTTCCCCAGTTCTCAGCCATTGCCTGTTGGGAGATGTAGAATTCCAGACTGGTTTGTGTTGGAGGGGACCTTAAAGCTCATCCAGTTACAACCCACTGCCTGCAGAGGAGAGTGCTGCCTGGTACTGAGGCATATATACGTGTAACATACCTCTTCTTTCAGTCTAACTTACTGCTTTAAAGTAGCAGAGGAAGATCTAATTGCAGCACCCTCACAGGGAAGAACTTCTTCCCAATGTCTCATCTCAATCTCCCCTCTGTCAGGTTAAAGCCATTCCCCCTTGTCCTGTCCCTACAGGCCCTTGTCAAAAGTCCTTCTCTAAGTTTCTTGTTGGCCCCTTTAGGCCCTGGAAGCTGCTCTAAGGTCTCCCCTTAAGGAGCCTTCTGTTTTCCAGGCTGAACCAGCCCAGCTCTCTCAGCCTGTCTCCAGAGCAGAGGTGTTCCAGCCCTCAGAGCATCGTTGTCCTCTGGACAAGGCTTGAGCATAGCCTGCTTTCCCATCAAAGCTGAACAATGCCAAATTTAGTGTTGGGCAGTAATGTTGTTATTTTTATTCTCTGCAGAAAAAAGAAATTTCTCAGAAGGTGACTGATGTTCAAGGTGCAGCCAAGATCGTGCGTCGGGAAATAATGAGTTTGTCTTCCTAAGCTACTGTGGCTCCTCACTCATGGGTAACGCCTGTCCTATGTATGCTCTGGCACTGCCACTTTGCTTGATGGCTGTTTCCTGGGCTGCTTTCAGAATGGCCATCCCTGTGAGGAGCTGACTTGAGCCTATCTGGGAAATCCCTGGGATCTGAGGCACTGCATACATCATCTTTTTTTAATGCAGGGGTTCTCCTGTCCTTCCTGTTAAGGATGACTACTTGTGGCTTTATTTCTTACTTTCTATTTTTTAAACTCAGCTGTTTCTACTTTAGAGATCCAAAACCTTGTGTTTCATGCAAGAGTTGGAAGGCACTTCCGTTTTTATCCTGAAAATACCAATGCTTTCAGATACTTTTGGAAATAAAGAGGGGAGTGAATTTTAAACTCCTTTGGGGATTTGGGATTGTGGCTAATAACGTCTATCATACCAAATCTTCATGTGCCTGGTATCCTTGTAAACCTCTGTTTGTAGCTGTTTCTGTCTCATGTTGATGCATTTAGAAATAAAAGTTGAAGGTAAAAGAGCAAAGTGATTTTTTACTCAGTTTTCTGGTGGAAAACAATCTCAGCCTTCGTGTGATGAGCTGCACCAAATGCACTGTTAAGTTCAATTTGGGAAGCAAGCTAATGAGAGTACAGCTAGCAGTGCTATTCAGCTTTCTTGTTGCCCCTTTAGGCACTGGAAGCTGCTCTGAGGTCTCCCCAGAGCCTTCTCTTCTCCAGGCTGAACAAGCCCAGCTCTCTCAGCCTGTCTCCAGAGCAGAGCTGCTCCGGCCACCTATTGCTCAAGTGGATTGTCAGATCTCCTTAAATCTACCTTGTGTGTTGGAAGGTTTGGTTGGTCCCTCTCCTTGCACAAGTTTGGTAAGAAATCTTGTAGAACAGAGCACAATCGGTGACAAATTGTGCTCTGAACTGCGGGGGAGAACTGGGGGGGGAGTCTTACAGAAAATCATGGCTGTTACAAGGCCTGAGTTGTTTGCACCAGGCTGGTAAATCTGTAGATGGAACAGGACGTGTGCCAAGGTGCTCCCCAGCTCGATCTTGGAGGAAGTCAATCACATGCTGACATGACCAGTGTTCCTGGGTTTCATAAATTTGACTAATGTTCCTTGTCCAAGGTTACTTGTGAACAGTGAAATCACTTCATTATTTCCAGCTGTGACAGCCAAATCATATGCTGATTGCCCTTCTGCGTTCTTCTTTATGCTTGCATTGCAGCTGTAAATAAAGAACAGATTGGGTTTAGCTACTTGAATTCATCCAAAGTGTCCTGGGTTCAGCTGTAGCAGTTATTTTTCTCCTTCCTAGTAGCTGGTGCAGTGCTGTGTTTTGGCTTTAGTCTGAGAACAGTGCTGATAACACACCTATGTTTTCAGCTGTTTCTGAGTAATACTTACTCCAATCAAGGACTTTTCAGTCTCATGCTCTGCCAGTGTAGGGCATGGGAAGCCAGGAGGAAGCAGAAACAGGACACCTGACCCAAACTAGCCAAAGGGGTATTGCATACCACAGCACGTCATGCAATTGTTTATTGTTTTCTTTTTCCCTTTTAGTTTTATATTCTCTCACCTTATTATTGGTGGTAGTAGTTTTGTATTATACTTTAGTTACTGGACTGTTCTTATTTCAACCTGTGGGATTTACATTCTTCTGACTCTCTTCCCCATCCCTCCAGGAATGGGGAGGGGAAAGAAGGTGGAGGAGTGAGTGGCTGTATGGTCTGGAGTTACCAGCTGAGCTTAAACCATGACACCAAGATACTGGAGTTAGTGAAACAACATGTAGGGCTGCATGAAAAGGAGTGTGGCCAACAGGTCAAGGGAAGGGTTTCTCCCCCTCTACTCTGGTGAGACACCCCCACCCGCAGTCCAATGTCCAGCTCTGGGGGCAACAACACAAGAGGGACGTGGGGCTGTTGGAGCAAGTCCAGAGGAGGCCATGGACATGCTCTGAGGGCTGGAGCAGCTCTGCTCTGGAGACAGGCTGAGAGGGCTGGGCTTGTTCAGCCTGGAGAAGAGAAGGCTCCTCAAGGGGAGACCTTAGAGCAGCTTCCAGGGCCTAAAGAGGTGACAAGAAATCTGGAGAGGGGCTTTTGACGAGGCCCTGTAGGGACAGAACAAGGGGGAATGGCTTTAACCTGACAGAGGGGAGATACAGATGAGACATTAGGAAGAAGTTCTTCCCTGTGAGGGTGCTGAGGCGCTGGCACAGGGTGCCCAGAGAAGCTGTGGCTGCCCCATCCCTGGCAGTGTTCAAGGCCAGGTTGGACACGGGGGCTTGGAGCAGCCTGCTCTAGTGGAAGGTGTCCCTGCCCATGGCAGGGGGTTGGAACTAGATGAGGTCACTTCCATTCCAAATCAGTCTGGGACTGGATGATAAATGTTGATGCAGGGTATGTTCAGAATTCCTGGATGCCTCTTCCCGCAGGGACACTGCTGTGAGAGATGACTGCTGGGCCTCGGGCAGGCTCTGGCTGTTCAGCAGTGCCAGGAATGTCTCTGCAAGCAGACTGGGGATACCCTGCAACTGAGCTTGGAGGCCCAGCCCCAGCACTTACTGTAAGAGAATTTAGACGCACTCCTCTCCCTCTGGTCCAAGCAGAACTGCCTCGTGGAGGGCGGTGTTGTTGTGCCTGCATAGGAGCAAGAGGCATGTACCAATTACCTAAAGAAGCTGTGCTGATACATGGAAAATGGTCTAGCAAATTAAACTAAAAAAACCCGCATAGGTGGATACAGAATATGTTAGGCCTCATGATGATTTGGGTTCTTTTGGTAGGCTTTAGTGTGGTTTGTTGTATTAAGTTGAAGTGGATTGGGCAAGGAGTTGAAGAGAACAGCAGCTTTCCTAAGAGAAATTATGAGAAATCTTCAAAGCTGGCAGCTGAAAGGCCTGTGAATACTATTATCTTTGCTCATTTGCAGGTTGTTATTTTCAGATTTGGCTTTAAAAAAAGCTACAGACTTGTGGAGGAGGGGTGAGAGGTTAATGCTTTCTAAAACTGGAGCACAAGTGGTTTTTTTGAGTACAGTTCCAATAGACCAGAATGCGTGTTTGCTTATTGTCCTGCTTGCTGGTTGATGTTGGCACCTTTCTGCACCAGAAGAGAGATGGCTTCTGCGTGCTTGTTAAGGACAGCAACAGTGAGAGCAGGTTGGTCCTCATCACTGATGCAGTTTGGTTCAGCTCCCTAGTGCACACAGGAGAGGGAAGGTGAGCTGTTAAAAGCCATAAAGTTTCTTCAGCTTCCATCTTGCTTTAATTGTAGAATCTCAGACTGGTTCAGGCTGGAAGGGATGTTAAAGCTCATCCAGTTCCAACTCCCTGCCACAGGCAGGGACACCTTCCACTAGAGCAGGTTGCTCCAAGTCCCTTCCAGCCTGGCCTTTAATATTATGCCAGTTGAAGTTGGCAAATGGACTTTATGTTTAGGCCAGAGAAATATTCAAATTGTGTGGTATTGTTTCTTCTGAAGGTATTTCTGGTCTCCTAGCTCAAAGCCAGAGTAAATGTATATAGTAAGAGTAGTCATACCAGATCCTGCTGCCAGGATGCACCTCACCATACAGCAAAATGATAGAGGTTTGCTTGCTCTTCTGTGCAGAGGGCTTGACCCCGAACTATAAAATTTATCTTTCATTCTGTATGCCCATGAGGAGATGAGGAGCATGCCTTACACACTGTCCAAGTACGAATTCAGAGAAAACTTACACAAATCTAAAACAGGCTGTTTCTTCTCTAAAATGCTCTTTTAATCTGAAGACAGTCAGTTGTATTGCAAAGATGTTGCCCCTAAGCCTAAAGTTGAAGTTGTGTACCAGGCTAATATTCATGCAGTAAATGGCCAATGAGTTGGAAAAGGTAACTTCAACAAGCAGTGCCTTACTTCACTGAGTAATTGTTCTACCAAGGGGATTCTTCCTTTCCCATTTGGACCCAGTTCATCCAGTAGTTGTCTGGACTCTGGCTGTGGAAACAGAAAACAGCCAGTAGCATTTCACCCAGTGAAAATACAACTAGGTGGGCCCTACTCTGCATTTGAGTAAAGGTGGACAATAATGCCTCCATCTAATGTTGCTTCTGAGAAAAACCCGTAGCAAGATCAGTCTGCAACAGTCTTTAGGCCTAATGCTGTGTCAGTAAATCAGAATGGGTCCAAGAAAAAAAGAAAGAGTAACAATGTCATTAAGCTCCTAGTAGGAACAAAGTGTGGTTATTTCCAATTCTGTAATAAATGTCAGTTACCAATGTTCAGGTTTTATATTAAGTTGGACTTTTGTCCCCTTCCCCCACCCCCAGTCAGTGTTAAAACCTTTTGTATTTTTACCCTTGGCTGCCCTCCTCTATAGGGAGGTTTTTCTGTATGGGCAGAAGATACGTACGGGGAGCTTATCTTCTTTTTCTGTAAGTGTTCTTGACTTTGTTCTCTTTATTTTGCCTCTTGAATGGAAAAGATTATGATCATCTTTGCCTACCAGAAAGGGAAACAAGTATTAATTCAAAGCAAAGTCAGTATCCTAACAAGAACTTGAGGGAGAGATCTGGAAATAATTTATCCACAAAAATATTTTATTTTGTGTTGAAATGAAAGCAATATTTATCAGTTTCCTACAAGAGAAAGTGATGAAATATCTGTTGCAGATCAGACTGGTTTTAACAAAAGGTTTACACTTAAGCAGTCATAAAAACTTGCTATTTTGAAATGAAGATTCAATGAAATGTAGAGTTTGAGGAGGTTTAGCCTTTCTTTTCTTTTTCTTTAACTAGCTGCAGCTATTCAACAGGCTTGACTTGGAGTCATGAATTGTTTTAACCAAATACCTTATGATTTTTCAGTGCTGTCTGGCTCCCAAATACTTAAGGACTAGTGGACCTAGAGTAGACCTGTTCATCCTTTATTTTAAAGAGACATAATCTACCAACATGCAGGAGTTGGCAGCACATATGGACCCTTTAAGCTGGTGCTACCAGAGTGTTTGGAGTCACAGTCATTACTGACACTCCCCAAAAACCCAGCTCCTAGTACCCTGGCTGCCTCTTCCCAGTTCTTAGACTGAAAGCCCAAAGTGGATGAAACTCCCATGTGAAGTATGTCAAATGTCACCATAGGAATTTCTGAATTCTAATACTGACTTCACAGCTAGATGATTGAATGAAAACTTAAGTCTAATATGAGCTGCCTAAAGCACTGAGCTGTTAATGACACTAATAGAAATGCAAGTTGAGCATCTCTGAAAACTAGGTCTAGAATGTATTTCATCATTTCTGAAGTTCTCCAAATGTGCCAAAGCTGAAGTCCCTGGCAGAGCTCAAAAGCAGGGATAATACTGTCATCCTTGGCAGTGTTCAAGGGATGGAGCAACCTGGTCTAGTGGAAGGTGTCCCTGCCCATGGCAGGGGGCTGGAACTAGATGAGCTTTAAGGTCATTTCTAACCCAAACCAGCCTGGATTCTGTTATTTATGACTCCTACTGTAAAAGAATATGCAAAGCATCTGAAGTTTTATCACTATAACAAAACCACTGCTATAAGCTGTGACTGCATTTACTAGCCTCTTCAGTGGTCTTTCAGTGATGGAGCATTTCTCTGAGTTTTTGACAGAGTCCATACATTGCTTAAATCTCAACTCAGCCATTTTGAGACTTAAAGATCAACTTAAGTAGGCTCAGAATGTGCCAATATATTAGTTTGTTTGTCTCAGTGTCTGGTCTTCCAAGAGCTACTTCTATATTCTTGACTACTATATTTAACATAAATGTTACTGTAAAAGTTGGTCAGAGAAACTCTCTAAGACTCAATTTGGGGTTTTGGAAAGCAGCATTCTTTATTGCAGCACTGGGCACACACATGAATAGCTTCACAAAGGTGAGCACACCTTGCTGGCAGCAGCTACATATTTAGCATACTCATGCATATTCAGCACTTCCACAGGAACTAATTATAATATTTGCATTCTAATTACACATGCACTTTCTTGCTGAGTGAGGGTCTCTGGTGGTTGCCGACAGTCTTCCTCACTGTGTTTACTAAATGGCCTGAGTTAGCAGCTGGTATGTCCTTGCTTCTGTTCTGTTCCAGTCTCGCTCCATGCTGGGTGCCACTCTGCTATCGTGAAGGTTGGCATCCTGGGTCTTATTTACTGTCTCCTAAGTTGTTATCAGTCCTGTGATGTTCCTTCCCCGTCAGCCGAACACTCCTTTCTCTCTACATGTTAGCAAGTTAGAACAGTTTGCTGTATTCTACTATGTTAGTTTAAAAACACACACACACTGTTGTTAGTTTAAACCTACAGTTTAAGCCTACATAAAGACAAGGGAGTAAAAAAACAACTTACCCAAACTAGTCTGACTGCCATCCTTTCCATCTCTGACTTCTGTTGCAGCAGCTGTCAGGTAATGATTGCTGAACTTCACTGGCTTATTAGTGTGAATATTCTGTAGAATCATCAAATGGAGGTAGTTAGTAAAGGTTATCACCTAATGCTGTTATAATCTTAGTAGCACAAAACAGCGGTGTGGCAGATGAAAAAATATATAGGCTTTTAATATCAGCATGAAATTAGCAGAAGACAAATTGTTATTTGTAATTGAACTCTGTTATGAGGTAAAATAATGTAGCATTTTTTTCTAAACCTTGTGGTAGTATTTGGTTTGATTTAGGGGAAAAAAAAAGTGACACAACTTCACCTAATGAAATGAAGAATCTCATCCAAATGAAGTGTTCTACCCCTTGAGAAATCTGATTAACTCCTCACTTGTGAAAGGATGTGATATACCTTTTCAAGCACCACATAGCAAGGTAAGTTTGTTCAGATTCTACACAAGAGATACAGTCTGAATTTTGGATCTTTCGAATGGAGAATTCTCATATTTGATAAGCTGGGAATAAATATCTGGGTGGTTTTTGGGACATGGTAATTCTGGAGGTAGGGATTTCAAGTGTTTGATACAGTTAACAGTAATTCTTGTCAATGTTATCTCCAAACCGTTGAAAAATAAGCTTGTTCGTTAAGAACACAATTTGCACACTGAAGACGAGGATCTAAGCTCAAGGTGCTAGGATCATCAAACAACATCAGCTGAAAAACAGAATGGTAATATTAATAATAGCAAACTACTGAAATGCAAGATGATAGCAACATAACCATGAAGTCTGGCTTAATCAGATAAAGATACCTGTTCAGCAGCTCTAGCAGAGAAATAAAAAGGTTCCTTTCTCTGAAGTGGTAAGTTAATACCCTCTCAACAAAAGAATTTATGGTTTAGACCTGAATTTAAAATATACAGGTGTTATACTCACTGGTCTAGTGACAGCTTTCGACCAGCTGCCTAACAATGGGCCTCATCCCCCAAACTAACCTTGTTAATAGCAAGAGCATAATTCAGTGTAATAGTGACTTCATAGTCATCCTCACAG